GGCCCCTGACGGGATTCGAACCCACGACCTTACGGTTGCGAGTCCGAGAGCCTAACCACTAGGCCACCGACGGCACTTTTCAGACAGTAAACGTCGCTTACAAACTTTTCGTTACTGCCAAGACGATGGAAAGAATCGTGCTCACGAACTTAATAATTATTGGTTTCAATGCACTTTTTCATCCAATTTAGCCGGGGGTCAAACGCAGTCACCTTGTCGGATTCGGCCAGAGTCCTTAGCGCAAGATTTGTTTCGAGCCTAATTTTTTCTTCGTCTTCCTATTGCTGTCCTTCAATTCTTTGAATTTAGGGAAGAGATAAAAGTTGCATGGTGTAAGTCTCCGGAATAGGGGAGATGTTCAAGGATTTCTCACTGCCAGGAGTCCAGGAGATTGGTGACCTTTGAGTAATGCGCACAGGCGTGTTGTCATGATGGAAGACAACACCTTGCTCAAGAAGACCCGGCCGCTTTCTTCTGACTGCTGGTCTCGGCTTTGTTTGAAGAATTATCTTGTTGTAATACCTAATAGTTAACATTGCATGTTGTGCCTACGCGAATCAGCAAGTTCAAAATCAGACCTTTGTGGTAGAAACACACATTGGGCATAATTTTCAAAGCACCTTGTTTGCGCCGAGCTTCTGGGGTAGCGGTCGGTGATCCTGGGTTTCTCCATTCTGCTGATTGCCTTTTCAGTTCTGGATCCCGCGAATACACCCATATTGTTGATTTTACAGAACAGGAAAACTTAAATTTATATCTCTGGGACTGACCACGTACATGTAGTATTAGGTGGCTTGGGGTTATTGGCTGATGAGCGTGTAGAATTGTGCATGATAAAAGTAGCGGTTGATATTTGTTGTTGATGGCGATGAGGGGCTTTCGGTCATGGTGGTGATTTTGATGTTGTAGTTGTATCCCCCATTGATGACGGTAGTTGTGGTATCTATGATGGTGATAGTGTTTTCGCCATTGACATCGAGTAAGGCTTTATCAAGCCTGTAAGGCCAATCAGAGCCAGGAAGCACATTTAGATTCGGACAGCAGTAAGACGTAGAAGAAAGAAGTTGAAGGAGCAGACCACACCAGAACTTTCGACAACCATCCCCAAGATCCCCGTGAGGATTATAAATAGTACAAGGTAACAAAGGATCATAGAAATAAAGGAGCATGGAATAATTATAGTGCAGAGTAAAGTAAGCAGCCTACCCAGCCCCGTAAATAGGAAACTCTGGACTTGGAGTGCATGTGCTACTTTCAAAAGCAGTGTATATTTACTACATACAAGATGTCCGTTTGTACGCCATCTTGTACGGCAGATCAGTTGCACGCAGCATTTGCAACAGATGTATGGTACTCCAGTTGAGGTTGACTTTAGAGACATGCTAAGCTCTAACAAAACGAACACCGGAGACGAAGCAGATGGATGATGCATGTATCATTTCCACTAAAAAGTGCAGAATGGATCTCTGTTCCTTACTTTGTGAAGGTCCCATATTATTATATATGAAATGTATGGGCCTGACGGCACAAAGTCAGTTTGATATTACCCATTGTTATTCCTTTTTGTTTGTTTCTTGTTGATTTGTCAGGACGAGTGGTTGGCGGGCGCCCAGGTGTGGTCTAGTTCTGTTTCCTGGGGTCGATTAGTTACAAAAACAAAAAAAAATGTTGTAAGATTTTTACGGCACTTGCAACACAATAAGGTCATTTAAGTGCCGAAGATTAGAGGTGTTACGAGCGAGTAACAAACACAAAAACGAAGGAGGGGAGATAGAAATGATTGACTTCTTATAGTCCCATACAACCCCCCAATAAACAATCAAGCCCCCCCCCCCTTGTCATTGCACAGGACAAATGAAGAAAACTCCCAGGAAAACGCAGCAGAGTTGACGGGTCCTGTGTTTTTATGTAACTATCGGCACATAGTATAGGCCATATCAGGGACAACCAAGAGCGGGAGAGAGTGCTATATATATATCTAAATGTGTATTGGTGGAAAGAGCAGAAAACGACGATAGCAAAAGTCATAAAACGGAGAAAACAACACCAAATTTTCCTCGACTACACGGCCTAATCCAGTTCGTGGAGTGCTATGTATACATGTTTGTGTGTGTGCCGCTAAGATTTAACAGCTATTAATTACATCAAACTACTTTTGAGGCAACCTTTTAATCAGAGGAAAATTAATTAGAGAAGTTTGGAGGTGAAGCGTTTTCGTCCCCAGCATCCAGAAGAATTAAAAGTAGAACAAAGAGAAGGAAGACAAAGGTGACTCTTCTCGTTTGAATGGTTCTCAAAGTGCCGTGGCTCGCCGTGAGTATGGACAAATCCCCACTGTTTTGTTCTGATTGCTTGCTATTTGGTGGTAAAGAAGTGAAAGCAACCTAAGCCCCACCCAAATCTTGGTCCACCCACCGCCACTGCCTGTTAGTGAGCTGTCAACGTGGGCTTCTCTCAGTATTTTTTGTTGTTGAAATTTATGCATGTCGTGGTGGTACTGAGCTTTAGAGCTTTTGTGAGTGTGTGTGTGTGTGTGTGTGTGTGTGTGTGTG